TGCTGCGGTCGACTCTGAGGATCCCCTGAGCGCCGGTACCGGCATTTGCCCGGTACCGCCCAAGCGAGGTACCGGTCGAGAGAGAGATGTCAGCGGCGGCCCAGGATGACAGAATTGGCCTTCGCCGGACTGAGGACTATTGTGCGCCTCGGCGAGGCGGTTCCGGACATCCCGATTCCGAGCGCGGTGGACTTCATCTTGCCGGTCAACTGCCGGCGGACGGCGCTGCGTCGACCGAGCGCGACACCTACCGGCGGTACACGATTCTGGCAGGAGCGCGAGAGCGCCAGAGAGGAAGCGGGAGAGGCAAGCGCAGCCGCGGCCTCGCAGCCGGCAGCGTCACCGCGACAGGGCGCGGAGCCGGAGAGGCAAGCGCTATCGGCCTTCTTCGACTATCCGGCAGCGCAAGCTCTCGCCGGCTGTCAGGCCTCGTGGAACCCAGCTGGGGTCTAGCTGTGTCCTGTGATCCGTCGAACTTTTATGTACGTAAAAGAGGAATGCAGAACATCGGCCAGGGGAGGGACGACGCGGCCAGAAAGAGGTTAGCGTTTGTTGTTGTCTTAATTTCCAGCAACGACGAACGAGCAAGCAAACCCCTGCCTAGACCGAGTCTAGGACCGAGTTCGAGTACAGCTAAATAAACCTAAAGAGACCCACCCGGGGCTCCCCACCTTCGTGTGAGGGCCCGTGAACATCTTCAGCTTGAGAGAGAGAGAGTTTTGAAAACCAACAAGAAATCGCGACGGCTCACCCTCTACCTACCTACCTAGCAACACAAACAAACTCTCTCTCCTACCTAGCTAGCCAGCGCGAACTCGCCGTCTGAGCCTAGCGCAGCGCGAACTCGCTCTGAGCCTAGCGCAGCGCGAACCCGCGCACATAAAAGCTTTTGCGCAGCAACCCGCGGCCGGGCAAACCTACAAAAACTTATTTCGTCTTGAGACGCGGCTCGCTCTCCAAACCTTCCATCCACTCATTCAACGACCTGCAAATGAAGCTGCGCCCGCCTGCCCCTGCCCCCCCTAAAAAGCGGGGTTGGACGCACCTCGACGCGGTGCTGCCCGCCGTGCGGCCCAAGCCGGGCGAGCGGGTACGCGCAAAATTTCAAGGCGACATCGGTGGCTTCAACTGTCCGCGCTCTGCCCCTCGCCCCTGGCCTAACCCTGCCCCGTCGGCCTGTCCCGTCCGCCTAGGTTCCGCCCCCCCCCTCGCGCAGGGTTCTCCGGGACGGTCACCGCGGTGCACGCCGACGGAAAGTGCGACATCTTTTACGAGGACGACGGCGAGTCCGAGAAGCGCGTCGCGCCCCGCTTCGTCAAGGTTCTGCTGAGCGACGAGGAGAAGGCGCGAGCCAACGACGCGCGCGCCGCGGGCCAGGAGATTCGACTCAAGCCCCAAGCGGGGAAGGCTGGAATCGAGCGAGGGCAACGCGTGCGCGCAAAATACCTGGGCGACATCGGCGGCGTCAATTGTCCGTGCCCCTGGCCCTGGCCCGGGCCCTCGCCCCATCCGCCGAATTCCGCGGACCCCCCCCCCCCCCCCCTCCCCAGGGTTCCCCGCGACGGTGACCGCGGTGCACGCCGACGGCAAGTGCGACGTTGCGTACGACGACGGCGACTCGGAGGAGCGC